AGCCGATCCACATCCTGTCAAAATGCTTGGAGCGTTTGCCCGAACACTTTGCAAAGCAGTTTAACTAATCTGAGTTACCGCTTTCTCATTCGGGCATTGAGTGCCCTTCTTAATGGGCCGTCCCCTTAGATCCGTCCTCACGCGCAGAAGTCGAACATGAGATCAAACTGTTGAAATTGCATAAGGCCACTGGTACAGATAGAATTCCCCCAGCTCTCCACAAATTCGGGGGAGCTGCTCTCGCAGATGATTTACACAAGTTGCTAATGGAACTGTGGGAGCAATAAACTGTACCGACAGACTGGAACCGCTCCGTCATAGTCCCAATTTTCAAGGGAGGCTCCCGTTCGGAATGCGGCAACCATAGAGGGATCAGTCTGATCTCAATCACCTCTAAATTACCTCTCGTTCGCCACAGACTGACTGGCGCTCTTGAAGGTCAGATTCGCAAAGAGCAAGCCGAGTTTCGTCGAAATCGTGGATGCATCGATCACAACTTCACCTTGCGTCAATTGTTGGAGCACGGTTATACTTATTGGCGACCTACCGTTGTCGCATTTCTCGACAACAAAGGGGCCTTCGATTCGGTGGATCGATGTGCCCTTTGGGACTGTCTGCTGAGAAAAGGTGTGTGCCCGACAAATATGTAAGCATTATCAGAGCGCTGTTCGCGCATAGTTCGGGTTTATGGCAAACTGTGGCCGCCCTTCAATATCTCCAGCGGTATGAGACAACGTTGCCCGCTGTCCCCTTTCCTATTTAACTTCGCTATTGACGAAGTCATGGAAACAGTGTTCGCTGGACACGACCTAGAAGGTGTAGAGCTACTTCCTGGTGAACGACTTCTTGACTTGGAGTATGCGATATTGCTCTCATATGTGACAGCGCCCAAACGTGCCAGGCTGCACTGGGCCGATTAGCACTGGCTGTCAATCGTTGTGGGTTATGCTTTGCTCCATTGAAATTCAAAGTACTTCTCCAAAATTGGCAGGGACCCAACCCTGCGCTAACGCTTGGTGGTGATCTGCTAGAAGTCGTTCAGGAATTCAAGTACCTGGGTAGCTATAGTAGCGCCCGTAGGATCGAAGAGGAGGTTACGAACCGTATAGCAAAAGCTCGAGGTGCTTTTTCCAATCTCCGCCACCTGCGACGTAGACGCGACATTACTCTCGCCCTGAAGGGCAGAGTTTATAACGCAGCCTTCAGTCCAACCCACCTGTACTGTTGTGAAACCTAGCCCATCAGGTCGACAGACAGAAAGTGGCTCGTCATATTCGATCATCGCTGCCTTCGTAGCCTAGCTCATGTCTGGTGGGAGCACCGCGTGAGCGATGAGCGTGTTCGGCGTCGCGTATTTGACGCAGGAAGAGCGAGTGAACCGCTCAGCAGCATTATGTCACGCACCAAGCTCCGATGGCTCGGCCACGTGTTGCGAATACCAGCACACCGATTCCCGCGACGTGCGTTGTTTGCGCGCTGAGTGCGATTGGAAGAAGAAGAGGGGAGGTCAAGCGATGACTTGGTTGAGAGAAATGAAAACCCTTACTTCGAAGTTGGCGTCGGTTGGTGCATCCTGACTGGGGTCCTAAGGACGATGAACACGTTTGATTGGACACACTTGCTGATATGGCTATGGAGCTGGCCCCAATGGTGTTTGTGTTGTGCGTTCCTTTATCCACCCCCTCCCGCTTAGCCCCCCTCCAATCATGATCTCATTCTTTAGGCGTAATATAACTCTTCGGCACGATAGCCGGCTGTTAGCTCTCCAGTATGATGTCTATCTGTTACTGGGGACTCAGCCGGCGTGCCTCTCTTGTATTTTTCTGCTTGTCTTTTGTACTGCGGCACAATAGCTGAGGTGTTTTCCACCTGCAGCTGTGTATAATGATGATGAATAAATAAAATTGCAAACATTAATGAGGTCTTTGTTTTATAAACGAGTGAATTGATGTGGCCGCACAATGAATGTTATCTTGAGGCTGGAAAAGTTAAAAAATGAGGTTTATAAGTGAAAGAGCGGTGATACAAACATTAAGAATTTAACCATGAAAATGGTACCAATATGACCATAGAAAGCACAGGTTTACGTTTATTAGGCGTTGTGAATAGCTGAGATTGTGATGATCAAGAGTGGGGGGGCATGAGATATGGAAAGGCTTAAAAGGGGGCCACAGCCGAATTAAGGTTGAAAATGCCTGGTCTAGATGATGCTGAAAATATGAAGCCATGGCTTCGATAATGTCCACAACTACTAACTACTGTAACTTTGAATGAAGAATGCTCACTTTAAAAATACTGAGGGATCTGCATTCGCAATGCAGCATTTGCCGTGGAGTGGATGTAGGCGAGCGATGATGGCAGAGTAAGCGAAAAGGGAACATGCGACCACGTTTCCTACTGGTACTAGAGCAGCAGCACATTGGTGGCCACCGTTGTAGTTTGTACATGTCCGTCAAGATTCGTAAACAGATAACGTATTTGCAGCGGACTGCATGGCTTGAGTAGAAGCGTTCCCCCACCCTCAGAGGCCGTGACACTGCCACTAATACGCAATCATATAATCACTTCAGTAAAAGATGAGCCCAATAGCATTCTGTGTTTTATTCCTCACCAGATTCATTTTGAGCACGAATGATTTCCGTGGGACTGCAATGCAGCAAAAAAACAGGCCTGGCAGGGAAAACCCCCACAGTGGGGTTTTAATGGTTAACAAATGGTCGAGGGAGTTAAACATTGTCCATCAGAGCAGTTGAATGTGGAGAACGTCATTCTGTGTAAGCGCACCAACAGTTCATCTCACTACATGCCTGTGTATGGTGGGCGCAATCTTAATGGTTACACCAACAGCCAGTACACTATTTGTTATGAAAACACAGTTCACGGGCGAAGTTCAAAGAATGTTGGGGAACGCCACGCTCTCTCACCCATTTCCGGTCGGACTCATAAAGCTTATTTGGAGATGGATTAGAAGTCAGACAGGATGTAGGGTCCTGATGGGGAGGGAGACCATGGACTTCCGGGGGACTGGATGATCGCGTGGCAGCTGTATGCGTCAACTGACTCACCACAGGTGAGTAACTGATGCCGGCTGGACTCCGAGACCCAAGCATCACGCATGACCGTGTTTGACCAACGGTGCGCCAGAGCAACGCCCACGTTTGGTGCGAACACCGGGTGAGCAATGCTGAGGTCCGCGAGTTGGTTCTTAGCATGGAACCCTCTGGTGCCTCACTCAAGTATTTGATTAAGCTCAACCACTTACGTTGGCTAAGTCATGTCCTTTGTACACTCGCCGAACGACTTCTTCGGAGTGCACCAAGTATGGCGAAACAGCGAGGCGGCCAGTCAAGGATGTGGCATAAAGACATGATTAAATTGACTTGATCAGGCTGGTGCGTGTCGTCTTCGTGGACCGGGACCCCAGAAGAGTCCACACCGATGGTTAGAAACCGTTTCAAGCATGACGCACTCGAGCAGGCAGTAACCTTCCATCATTCGCTTTTTTGCATCTACTGTTAATTTTCATCCGATCGCAATTAGTTTAAAGCGATTGTCGTTGATTCCAATTTCTTTGTTTTCTATTTGCGTTCGTCCTTAGTTCCTTACTACTGTTACTCATTGTCTTCCTGGCGACGCGAGTCGTGGTAACTGGATCCACCGCATTTCGGTACCCGGAAGATAGTTGTTTGATTGAACTGAACTAAAGTACCTAGTCCCGTCACCTCAATTTCATGATGGAAATGACGATAAATGGCTATTTTGTGTCTTTTTCCACATGTCGCTGACTGTCTAACTCATATAACATGAAAGACACAACTATTATGGAAGTTCCACTGAATAGGCTAATGCACAGCGCTGCATGTTTCGGCGTCTGCTCCACTCCATCAAAGCGCAAAGTAGTGTTTGCAGGCCAATGTGGACACTCCGCTAGAACCCGTGGTCACCCAAGAACGATATGAAGTGGTCATGTAGTTCACTTCCTAGGAAGTCATATTAGCTGTGGTGGTCGTCGCACCACCGGAAGGGGTGGTGCACCAATCGGTAAGGCTCTTGTCATTCATGGAAACTGTAAGATGCAAGCTTATTGTTGAGGGATGCATCATTCTGCAGTGCGGCCAGCGATACTTCATGAAGTTGAAAGGTGGCCGCTGCGTGCCGCGGACATCAACTGACTGTGTGTGTATCAGGTGGAAGCATCTGGCGAGTAATGGTGACGTCTGTCATCCAGTATCTGGTAACAGACCTTGCGGTGTCTCATTGGAATGCTTTTTGAACTTGAAGCGTTCCCGCCGATTAGGTCATGCATTTCAAATGCCTCGGTGTGCATTGTTTACCAATATTGAACACAGTTGGGACAAATGCCGTTGCGGTCCGTTGATTACGTGGCAACAGATCGTGAAAAAACGATGAAAAGAAGTAGGGTCGACGCTTGCCAACTTCCCCGGTGTATGTCTGTCGGCCGCGAAGTCAATGGTGACCCTTTATTTCTCCCTTTCACAAATTCCACCGGACAAGCTCAATTTTCGCTGCAGTCAAATTGTATTGGATGTCGAGATTAAGGTTAGCTATGTACTGAGCATGGCCGACAAAGTGAAGCGACATTAAGAAAGTGAGATAAATGAAGATCAGCATTCGTGACGAAAACCATCTTCAAGCGCGCGCTGGCGTCATGCAAACTGCTGATGAAACGTGTAGAGGCGTGAAATCGGGACGAGATAAACGAATTAACAGTAGTCCATGTTTGTTGGGGAGATAAGTAAGAAGGATCGAGAACCGCTAGTCATATGGTATGTCTTTCAAAAGCAACGGGGATTCGGATGTAAAAAAAGCAAATTTTCAAATAAAGCTGCATCAAGTACAGTGAGAAATATATTGCAGTCAACCTGCGTTTGGTAGACACGGAGGAAGCTGATGTCTCGGAGAGAACAGCGTTTATTGATGACCCTAGTATAGAGTAGACTAGAGAAAATAAGGGCAAAGAAAAACGAGTTTAAACTTACGTGAAACAGTCCATCAAGGGAACGTATGACGTCCTTGAAGAGGATATTCAAGTCGGCCAACACACCTCGTACCAATGGACAATCGCGAAGCTGCTGATGACATCCCAGTGTGATGTGCATTAAGCAGGGAAGTACGCTGCGATCTGCAGAGGAAAGATAAGCAAAGGAGGCAAACACAACAAATGCGCATAACTAGTGTTACAAGATAAGCAGAATCGGTTGTTACAAAGTAATTCTGGTAATCAAGGTAAAAAACGAGGTGCACAAATTTAAGCAGTTTGGAAGGTGCATAGTGCCGTCGTAGGGGTGACACTGTGAAATCGCTCAGCGGTAGCCAAGTGACTGCTGGCTAGACCTCGATCCATGTGTGTTAGAGGTCCCAGGTAAGGAACTTCTGGGTTAACAGTTAGACCAAGTAAAGACTAGGTGAAAGATGAGAAAGAAGTAACCAGATTCTGTATGGTATAGTACATTCGTGGTTTCAGCTGTGAGCAAAACAATATGCTGGGACATGCATCCACTTTACTTTGGATAAATTATAAAATACGGCCGCACTGAACGAGCAGCAAGTCGCGGATCCATTTGTGGAGAGTTGTAGTTACAAGACATCATCATCATTATACATAAGCCGAAGGTGAGAAACACACTACAGCTATTGTGTCGCAATACATAAAGATAAGACAAACGAAAATAGCAAGATGTTGAAAAGTATAAGATGCTAAAAAACAGGCGACAGACTACTTAGTATCATATTATGCGTCAAGAGGGGGATCGTGCTTAGAGGGGGAGGCTAAGCGGGATGGGGATGGACAAAGGAACTCACAACACAAGCACTATTGAGATCGGCTCCTTGGCATGTCAACTAGTGTATCCAACCAAACGTGTAGTCACAAGACAGCAAATGTAGGACACAAAACAGAACAGTACGCGCCGGTTCAAAAGAGAGAAAACAATTGAGTCCCCCACCCGAAGTAGGCGAAAACACTGCATGGTTCAACGGAAATAGACAATGCCGAGCTAGTTTCTGAGTAGCAATTGCCTAATTGACACTGAGATAATTCCGTATGAATGAGCTAAGAGTTAGGAGAATGATCTCATTTTTTTGCGGCTCAGTACGTATGCAGCAGTGATGGTGTAGAAAAAAATCGCCACGTTTCGCGTATCCCTGAAGCAATCTTTTCGGAGGACAGAAAAGTACCTAACAGAGGACAAACACATAAGAGGGTGTAACGCAGCCGGAAATCTGTCTTTATTTTGTGCAATAACCCAGAAAATAAGATGAAATCTGAGTCCTGTATGCTGCAGTGCGGAGTGAGCACGGGAATAGCGTTTGTCACTGTGACATGTACAGCCAGTCAAAGCAAGATGGATGAATCTCAGGCAAGCGAATACATCGAGCATCCAAACAGAATCAAAAGGTGATGCATCCTGGTAACCTCGGCGGAAATGCATAGACGGTGCGATATATCGGGCACAAGATAACTTACTATGAGTAGTGAAGCGCGTGCGGTAAAAAATGACAGAGAAAGCAGTTGGAAAGTTGGATGTGCTGTAATTGAAGCCACAAGCATGCGCTGCCATATGTTTGTATTAGGGCAGCAAAAAATGTTTTCAAAGAGTAGATGAAAATACAGTTCGTCCGATTGACTATGATCTGTGCACCAAAGCGTGACAGATCAGCATTCAGCCACGTTTTCATAATAATACTTGCAAACAATAGCAAAGGAGAAAAAAATGTACTAATCGTCAGACGGAAGGATCGGAAGAAACTGAATGAATGAATGAGTGGCACTAACAGTGAAAACCCAGTGCCAGAGTCTCAAATGACATTGAGGATTCGGAAAATGTATTTCGGAAGAAGCCATAGTACGCGGCATGTGATGCAATTCAAGTGCCTGGCGAGGCCCAAAAAATCAACGAACTTATTCGCTTGGGGAGAGGATTCCACTCTGGCTCTCACTGATTCGGCTCTCGTGAGAACGAGCCGAGTATGGGAAATTAATGAGAATGGTGCTTCGATGGTAGATATCGGCAGCTCATCTGCACAGGGTACTGAAGCTGTAGTACCAAGCGACCTCGAATGGTTGTATGCGAGGTAATGCGTTGTCGAGGCACTCAAACTCATGAGGGAGGAATGACTCCAAGCCGGGGTTCAGAGAATGGACGTCAGACGTCGGACGCCTGAACCATTGCATTTCGATGACTAACAAGATGTTCTTCGGCAATATATGACAACTACCACCGGAAGGACACTTCTTATTTGTGCATACTGGTGGCGAATAGTATGGCGAAACCGACTAGTGAGCCGCTTTTCGGTCAGCAATGAAGGACGACACTAGAGCCAAGCGACTGCTCTGCATCAGTAGCACGAGATAGCATATGATACTATCAAAGTGGAAAGATGTGTATCTGTATTCTTATCTAGGCTTAGCACATCAAACAAGTGAGATATGCTACGAGGAGCTCCCTAATCCACGGGGGCAATAGCTGGTGCTGGTGTAACAAACCAGTCGAAGTGAGTTCACAACTCGTACACCGTTGTCATCCATAGCTGAATTGTGAACATAAAACGCCTTGGCCTCTGCTTTTTAACATTCAATAACAACCGGTAGTAGGACGGCTCATCATTATCAGCATCATGATCAACAGCAGTACATCAGCCAATAGAACTGATGCTTCGCTGCCATACAACCATGAGGACCTATGAAATAAAGAATAAGAAGAGGGAGAGAAGGGGGACTTACCTGAAAACCTTAATGCCCTAAGTAAACATTCTGGGTCAAGGCGCCTACAACCTGTGTAGACAACATACCGTAACAAACAGATGGCTATCGTGCAAAGGTAAGGCGGAATCGGCGAAACAGCTTCCTTGCGGCTTTCACTGCCCTGCGTCACAATCAGCCATTACCCCACAGATAACTCAGCACCAAACACACTTTGAACAGACAATCCTACTAGCAGACGGCAGCACACGCGCCACTGGCCTCGGTTGCCAGCCATGTCCTATAAAGTTTCGAGCCAAGCACAAGGCGAGTCACGTGCATTCCAGTCCGGAAGGCAAGACGGACCAACGGCACCCAGTTTGGTAGTCAGTGACTTCATTTCCCGCTGCCAAGTCAACTTCTGTCCACCTCGAGCCTTGCGCCACCCTACACCTGGAAGACTAAATAAGGCCATCCTAGGTAAGCGGTGACCAGGCATGCGTAGCACGTGCCCGAGCCAACGCAACTTATTCAGTGTTATCTGTTGTTCTAGGGAGCTAGCATGATTATCACCACCTAGTACTCGCCTACGCACATCATCGTTGCGGACACGCTGGTGCCATCCGACACCAGCAATGCTTCGCAAACAACGATGATCAAAGACTTGAAGACGCCTCAGATCTTCAGACCGAAGGGGCCAAGTCTCACTACTATAGAGCAGAACGGCCCTCCCTGTGGCCTTGTATAGCCGGCCTTTCAGACGTAGGGAAACGCCCTTCTGTCGCCAAACATGTCGCAGGTTCAAGAAGGTAGCTCTGGCTTTTGCAATGCGTGAGCTCACGTCCGTTTCTATGCGCTCATCATTGCTGATGCAGCTGCCAAGATAAGTGAAATGATCAACCACCTCGAGTTCCTCGTTAGCAAGCGTCAAGGGGTCATCAAGTGGCTGCTGGTCCGGCAGCAACACTTCGCACTTTGAAGGTGCGAAGTGCATACCAAATAATGAGACCACTCTAGACAGGCTATTCAAGATTGATTGTGCCACCGCAACATTGTCGAAAAGCAAGACGATATCGTCCGCATAATCAAGATCAACTAATCTTTCACCAGGCAGCAATTCAACGCCTACATCGTGAGATTCCGCAAGGGAACACTCCATGATAGAGTCCACGACGAAATTGGACAAAAATGGGGAAATCGGACAACCCTGACGAACGCCACTTGTGGTCGGAAAGTTATCCGATAGGCCGCCGTAGACCCTGACGCGACCTGTAGTGTTCGAGTATAGAGCACGAAGGATGTTCACATATTTCGTGGGAACACCTGTCTGCGCAAGTATTTCGGATAGAATCGACCGATCGACTGAATCGAACGCACTCTTAAAATCGAGGAACACAGCTATTGTCGGTCTGCGGTATGCGTGGCGCTGCTCTAGCACCTGCCGCAAAGTGAATATATGGTCTATACAGCCACATCCTGGACGGAAACCGGCCTGCTCTTCCCTAATCCGAGATTCCCGTTCTGCAGTGAGGCGAAGAACGAGAATCGAGGCCAGTAATATTGTCACAACTGGCGTTAGGCTAATACCCCTGTGGTTAGAGCAGTCTGTGCGATTGCGCTTCATGTAGAGTGCCAATATAATCGATTCGCTCCAATTAGCCGGGACACTTCCTTCCAGATACGTTCGAATAGGGAGACTAGTGCGTTGAAGGGGACTTCACCTCCACCCTTAAATAGTGCAGGTGGGAGGGAATCCGGGTTAGCTGCACGAAAATGATTAAGGGCTGTGATCGAGTTTCGAACCCCGGTCTCCGACGGAGACTCTAAACTAACCGTCCATGGCTCGTCCTGCATCACCTGAGTAAAAAGAGGTTCGGGAGCAGGGGGCCAGCTGAACTGATCTTGAAAGTGTTCCGCCCAACGAGCCATACGGCGCTCCTTATTGTGTATCAGTGCACCCGCACTGTCTCTGATTGTCTCACTGACGCTTGGTTTCCTGGGACCAGTGATGCGGATCAGCTGGAAGAGCTTGTGGTAATTGCCTACTGCTCCTGCCTCCTTTATTTTTTGAGTCCGAGTGGTCCACCAGGTTTCCTTGTCAGCACGTAGGTTCCGCTTTAGTTCGCGCCTAATGGCCCGTCTGGTCACATTGTGCTCAGAGCCAGACGTGAGGTTTCTTCTAGATTCCAACAGGTTCACCGACCTATCGGATATCCAGTGACTGGTGCGGTGACCACTGATAGTGCCACAAGCAGATGCTCCTGCGTCGTGCATGGTGGCCGAGATTCTATTCCAAGTGAATGGTTTGCAACCCATGGGGCACCAAACCGAAACTCGAAGTGCGAGTGAGCTCGCAGGATCCCGCGGCCCAATACACAATCGTTGGCGACTGCGCAACAGTGAAGCACGACGTACTGCGAAAGCCTAGGACAGATAACTCATGGCTAAGGTGAATGAATTTGTGGTGACTAAAGGTGTAGAGCGAGTTAGTACCAGAACGGGTGTACGTAAACGATTTCATTGATTCACAAGGCTCTTGTGAGTTAGTTCGTAACCAGTGCAAGGTATCAAGTTGGGATGCACCAACAAGATCTCTAACCCAAAGAGAAAAAATGGATAAGTTACGTAAAAGAACGTTAACGTGATACATTATCAAAAAGGAAAAATACACAAGTCAGAAAAGATAACTTCTAATCCAATGAGCTTACTAGTATCACAAAGAACTGTCGTGTACGTAAAAAGCAGGAGACACTAGGTAACTACCATGTAGCAAGTTAAATGTCGCAGATAAAAGCATGCCTGAAAAGTTCTATTGGAAATCATCGCAAGGAAGGACGGGCGGTTGGTTAGTTAACGATTCATACCGGAAGAGAAGCAGGATACAGCCTCGGTCTCCGGCAGACTGCCAACGACGGAATCGATGACCGGTATGATAGCTCGTAGACTGTTGTAGTATGTGGAAAATGGAATGAGATGCGGTTCATCCTCGCATACCTTGCGTAAGTAAACTCCGAAAGTGGGCAGCAGACTGTCGAATGATTTTACTGGAAAAAGCAGTTAAACGAAAACGTTCCCGAATAAGATAACAAAACACATTATATAATGCCAAGGAAAACGGGTAGTCAAGAACAATAAAGATGGGAAAATTTGGAAAGGTTTAGCCTGATGACCTTTACTCCAGGTATACTGTGAAGTCATTATTATCAAATTAGTGCGTTCACGTCCCATCTATTTAAAAGATAGGAAGCTCGCCACGTGCTGGCGGGATACGCCCCCATAAAAGCAAGTGGCGATGCAAGGCATTCGTTACACAAAAAACGAGGCCGCATGCACATGAATGAAGATTTACTCGGTAGACGAATGAATTCAAAGCATGCCGATTAGCGTAGAATCCATATCATCAGGAAAGAGTTCTAAAAACTCAGACACATCGGCGACTAAAGCAGAAAGAACAAGGAGAAGGTGAGAGCACAAAAAAGGACAGTTCAACTTCATATATGAACTGAGCACGATTGTCGGTACAGCAGGTGAGATACTGAAACAAGAAAAGCGGGTTAAAAAGAGGAAATGCCAGGTATCTGTACAATAGGGGTGTCCAAAGTTTTTGCAAGGCGGGCCACATTTTGTGAGGTAAAAATATGGCGGGCCATATTCAGTCTGACGTTAAGATAATAACAAAAAATGACATGTTGTAAATTTTTATTGCAAGTTTTTAATGTGAAGGGTGAAACTGAGTTCTTGACTGCAGTATACTGGTCAGGTCAGGCTCAATGACACTGGTTTTGATACGCAAGGTATCATGTAGGTGAGAATCACAGCCTCGTCCTCACATGACTCTTGTTAAAATTCAAAACTGAGAATGCCACATCACACAAATATGTTGAGTCAAACAAGCTGAGCATCTTCTTAGCAAATGTCCGAATCTCTTGGAATCTGCCTTTATTCAGCTGGCGGCAAACATTCAGGAGAGCTGTTTGTGCCGACTGCAACATTTAACATCACTTTGCAACTCAATGAGCTCCAATTGCATGTGGTCTGGAGAATTGTCAGGGTCCACGGAGAAAGGGGAAGAAAAAAGGCCTATCACTTTTTCAATGTTTGCAAAGCGCTTTTGAAACTCATTAGCCAGGGTTACAATATCTGCGAGATACTTTAGTATTTGTGTATTGATGTTGCTTTCTGGAAGACTTGTCATGATTTCCTTTAGTGATGGAAAATGTGTGGTATTAGGCTGTGCTGGAGATAGTCGTCTTTGGAGAAGTCGCGGTTTATTCCTAAAATCGTTGCTTTGTGAATACAATTGGCTTACTACTGCATCTTGAGCCTGAAGGCTCGTGTTCAACATGTTCTGGTGCCGTGTAGTATTAACCAAAATCAGCCAACCAAACAGGATCAGATAGTTCTGGCATCGATTGTCACTTATTTTTCATGAATTGTCCCTCGACGGAGCCATCTTACATCATTGTGATACACAATAGCTCCGTATTCACACTGGATGTCCAGTAGAAACTGCTGAAACTGACGATGAAATAGGACATTGGAGCGAAGATAGCTGATACTTTTATCACTGACTTCATAACATGATCATACCTAAGGTGTTTGGCACAAATAACTTGTTGGTGTATGATGCAATGGAGTTATATTGCTTTTTATTTTTTCATTTAGTTATGACTCCTTTAATAAAAGCACTTGATTGACTCTTCCTAGCTGGTTAGAAATAAACAATACTACATCATTGATTGTTAAATGACGCGAATCCAATGATCGCGAAAATAAAGCAAGATGGGATCGCAGTAACCACGGTACTAGTAAAATGTATACAGTTGAGCAAAAGTGTGCAAACCTCGATTGTTTAGGGTCCCGGTATATCACCGTCAACAACAAATTACAATTGCACCACAGAAAGGAAATTGCTCTTAAAGCCTGACACCTGGAGGACAGGTCAATACACGAAAGTAGTGCGTAAGTATTAGCAAGAGCACTGGCCAATGACTGATGATCTGATAAGAGAGTGTTGAGTTAACAACAGGCACACATACAAGTAAACAGATTGGACAGTTTGATGACATGAACATCACTCAGAGATGGTGGCAGCTGTTGCAACACCATGAAGATAGCGACACTATACCTAGTGCATGGGGCGTCTGTTACCGATGTGACGAAACGAAATGAGGCCAAATATCGTCAGCGAGGGAATGAAGGTGGACCACTGGACAAGGGTGTGAGCGTACAAAGAATTGAACAGTTGCTAAGTACAGTGGAGGGAGTATGAGGATGAGCATAATATCCGGGTCTTTTGAGGACATAGTTCGGTGCATGCGCGGTCCTCGCAAGCACAATGAGGTTATTTGAGTGATCGGAAAGCCCAATCAAAGTGCCAACCGTTAGCAAGTTCCAGATGAAATCGCCAATCATGCAAGAAACTGCTACAGTGATTATTGCCAGTATCTGACGTCATAGAATTTGCTACTCATTATGTCCTTAATTTTTTGATCCATTTAATGTCGTCTGTACGGAAAGAATCAAAGCATGAATTTAGTACTTCATGATGAAGCCGCGGGCCAGGTGGAATGTTAACGTGGGCAGCATTTGGCCCGGACTTTTGACACCCCTGCTATACACAGATACTACCATGTGCTATCAAACGCGAAAATGGTTAAACATACAAACGACAAGTGAAAAAACCAAACCATAATCTGTGAACAAAGGAGCTTGCTGGTGAGGAAATCTCAATTATAGGATACAAATGCAAATTAATGGTTACTGTTATAATAGATGTTATCTGTTCTCAGAGCGTAACAAATGCCATTAAAGACAATTTAACAGAAAACCTCATCCCATATCCGAAATGCAAATACTGTTTGGGAGAAAACAAAAGCTCCCTGGAAAACATAGCACACTGTTTAAATGAATCCCAACGACAATGCTTAACGGAAGCAGCCGGTCGTTTCAGGAAAGCACAAATCGGTCATATCATACAGGCGGCAAGCATTAAATGCAAGAGCCAACTTGGAATGTGCAAGTTCGAATTGCTGTCCGATCGGTTTCAGTGTGTGCCGACTGAACACAGTGCACTGTGCTCTAAGCTGCAGACGTTTCTGAAAAGCTCTGTGAATGTCTACGGAAATAAAGGAACAAGAGTAACAAATAAAATACCCATTCAACATAATTACCATTAGCTACAACACACTTTTGACATCGGCTGTAGAGCTGTTGGAAACTGTCAGCAAACGCTTCTTGTGGAATCGCTCGAAGCACCGTACTCAAGCGTTATGGATATCCGAAACGTCCATGAAGCGTAAGCCTTTCAGGGTTAATTTAAGCCGGGGAAACAAAAAGAAGTCTACCGGCGCGAAATCTGGAGAATAAGGAGGGTGTTGAATAACAGTCACTTTGCGATGAGCGGATTACAGTTTGCAGACAGGTGTTCACTCTGGTGCGGTCGGTCAGAACGTGGCTCATTCCCGGCATCTTCCTTTCCATCTCTGAAGTGTTTAAACCACTCAAACAAAAGCCTTTTACTTGCTGCTTCAACACGGTACACTTGCACTAACATTCCATGAGTCTCCGTCACTGGTCTGAGACAAAACTTCGTATCAATCCGCTGCCCTACTTGGCTGTCACGAGTTCTTACACTGACTCGGTTAGCTTGATCGCGGTGTGCACTACAGCTTTATTTGGGTGGGGGGCATGTTGACATATCTCCCAACTGATATGCGCGGGCACCTCATCCTAACCAGTGCGGTTTTTAACATATGGGACAATTAAACGAACTTGTCAGACGCATCTTGTAGTAGACTTGGAGCCTGGTTAATCACTGGGGCATTGTGCGATAAGGCTATTCACCACTGAGGAACTAGACAATAGTGTGGGTTAATGATACAGAGCAGACAAGTAGGTAGGGTGCAATTGTGAAGTCGGGGTAGTAGCATGCGAGCGAATCACCAATGGATCGAGAGAATGCAGTTCCATGGTTCATCAGTAGACGATTCACTTCACGATTGCCTATGCCGAGCCGAAAGTGGAGCTTCTCATTCCGTACTTGGCAACGTAATACCATCTGGTACATCACCCGGATGATTATTGAATTCAAGCTAGTTATAGTGGTTAGGCTATGTTATTCGCATGGCTATCAACTGGTAGCATCAGCGCAATTGCGCCCCTTCTCTCCAAATTATTGCTTATTCGCACTCACACAATATGGAGGTACGAACTGGCCCAAGAATTTTGTGTAATTTTCATCAACATATTAGCTATTTTATCCTGATCTTTTGGCAAAATGAACCAATGCAACCATTTACCACAATCCAATACGCGATCAACTGAGCTAAACCGATCGGCCTTGCAATGAGAAGCTTGCTATCGACGGCTCGCCATGATCCCTTCTTCCAACTCGACATTGAGATCTGAGTAGGTATCCATGATTAGGAAAGCTCATTTAAGTATACAGCGCATGAAAGATGTGTGGGAACATAAAATACAACGATCTGTGGGATAACTGAGTAAGACCAGGTTTCAGAAACTCATGGAAAAAAGCCCCACTCCATCAGCGGACGGAAGTGCGCGTTGCGAGAGAAAACAAAATAATTGTGGCCACGGGATGCATACGGTTGATACAAATGATCGATTCACCGGTGTCACAGAGTTGTGATAGAATATGTAGATATGAAGAGACAGCAAGCAAACATAAGCAAAAGAAGTACAAAGGACTTACTCAATGCACCCACTCCGGTGACGGTGGAAGAAAAAGTGTAAAATAAACGGTGAATAACCTCCACCTCGCTACCATGCAGCCATCTAGAAAACCATGATTGAAAAATGGTAAAAACATACACCATTTGATGCTGCGCCTCTAAAACGGAATCGAGTAAATCGGAACCACACCATGCCTCAGCAAAATGATCATCGCCTCGGGTAATAGCATCCAAGAGACGAATGGTTGCAATAAGCAAAGAATCTAGACTGTGATTTATGGTGGAAGCAGTCTACCATTGGTGGAACTTCGGAGGATGAACAAAAAGTTATCGAAAAATTCGGACTGAGACTTCAGTGAGGTGAGCCATGCAGAGCCGTTGTCTCCAGATGAAAGGACAGTGTGCATTAATCTGTTGAACAGGGGTTATAAAAAAACAAACCGTACCTGCAGACCTCAGTCAAAGTTGGCGTATCCCTTGAGGAGAACAAGGTAAGCACTCGATCGCTGGGGACGGTGAGCACATCATAAGGACTTACATAAAAGATTCCATATCAGACATTTTTTGACACGCGGTTGGGCTATGCGCCATGTTGGCTAATATCCCAGCGCTGATTTCCTTGAAAGAACTGAGTGGTATTCGCAGCTTACTAAGAGCCGTGGATGCCGCGAGTAGGTCAAGGCGTCAGCGAGAATAGGAACAATGTCAAACTCATCCAAGTGAGGTAGTATATCACGGTTAACAGTCAGATCCCAAAGGCAACACAACCGCTCTTCCATATCTGGATCCAGATCCTCCACCTGCTCACCATTCAATGAAGACGAATTCATGACAGATAATAAGTCCAACAAGAGAGAAAAGAGCCAGCGTTTGCTATAGGAAGTGTCTCCAATGTTGTCAACATTATGTAAATCTTCCGAGAAATCGGGAGGAGGAGAAGGATTCCGGGTCCCCATGAGCAGTTCAAATGAGACCGGAACAAGAGGGCGATCACATGAGTGTCTTCTTTTGAGTGGACCGTAAACCAGAATAACCAAGATTGCTAAGATCTTGCTGGACCTAAAAGAAAGTATTCTAATCACAATCATTAGTCAACTAACACTCAGGCGTCCCGCTTTGGTAAGCTCCGTCGTGTCTTACACATGAAATAGAACAAGTAGATGGCAAAATAAAAATATCCACTTAGATAAGCATTAGTAGCAATGCAATAGATAAAGATCAGTTAGAGAAGGGTAAAGCGCTGATATTCAAGAGCATCCAGATGACCAGCGAAATCCTCAACAGTAGATGGTATAGCCACATCTTTGGTAATGAGCCCCAGTAGCCGATAAGGCGGCAAAACAAACAACCACCCGCTTTAATTCGACCAGAGCGCAGTTTGTGCAGCCTCATGGAGCAACGACCGCAGAGACGATGCAGCCAGGATAAGTGCAGTCGATACTAGTTAAAAATGCCACAAACGTAATACAGTTAATGAAGATAAGCGCGATTAGCGTAAACAACGTGTGCAAGTTGATAGAAGATTATTCAGGTAGGCAAAACAAACCAATTAAAGTGGAATGAAATGTATCCAGCTTAAAAAGATCTAGTCTAAGTGTAAGTTGCTTTAGCCCAACTGCGGCGAAGCATCATGAATGCAACATCAGCCTCAGCATGAGGCATACATACATCCAACTTAGGGCCGCGGGAGAGTATATGGAGACGATGTGCCCCTTTTCAGTATCACTAGCGGTGTTAGTGTTATTCAACTTCGCCATGTACGAGATCCTGGATACTGCCTTGGAAAACTTGGAGTCCTGCGACGTTTAACTGCTCCCTGGTGACCACCTTCGGGACTTATAGTAAACCGATGATATCGCTGTGATTTGTAAGTCCTCCCAGGCCGCCGAGCATGTGCTGCTTAGGCTGGAGATGCCCGCCTCCCAATTTGAGTTGACCTTTGCCCCTACCAAATGTAAAGTCCTGCTACAGGACTGGCCAAGAGCATATCCTTCTGTAATCTTTTCGAGGTATCAAGTGGAAGTGATCGACAGATTCATATAACTTGGGAGTTGTCTTAGTAGTGGCGGTTTGACAGATGATATTTCCCTTCGTCTCTCCAAGGCTAGAGTCGCTTTCGCCAACCTTCGTCACATGTGGCTTCGTCGTGACAGCCTCGCTCTCAAGGGACGAGTCTACAATGCTACGGTACGAGCGATTCTGCTGTACGGCTGCGAGACTTGGCCCGTTCGCAAAAGCGATGTCTAGCGGCTATCTGTCTTCCATCACTGCTGCCCACGAAGCGTTGCTGGTGTTCGATGGCAGCATCACATAAGTAATGAGGGAACCCGTCGGTGAGTCTTCAAAGCTGACTAACTCCGCGGACCGATCGAGAGCATCATTTCACGACGGAGGTTTCGCTGGCTTGGGCATGTGCTCCGCATGCCTACCCAGCGGCTACTACGACGTGCCCTAGTTGTGAGCGCAGGCATGGGAAGGAAGCGACAATGATGCCAGTTGAAAACTCGGATCCGATACGTTAATGCACAAACGTTGAAGCTGGCTGCTGTTGGAAGTTTCCGATTTCCTGGTTGGGAACCAAATGATCACGAGCATATCTGGTTGCAAACACTTCTGGATATGGCCAAGGACCGTACGCAATGGCGTACTTGCGCAAATCTTGTACCCACTCGCAAAACCCTCTTCCATTGTGTCCCTTACAAGACAAGCCTGAACACAGTATTCTAAGTGGGGTTGCACAAAAGCTGAGAACAACTTCACAAAAATATTGACCGTTAGGACGCCGAAGGAGTGCCGAATAAACCGCATCATGCGAAACCCTCTCTAAGCAGCCTTCCTTTAACAGCCCCCAGAGTGAAGCACTGTGTGGACGATACCTAGATCAACCTGCTGAGCGACAACAGGAAGTACACGCCACTAACTACATAGCGCGTGGGGGGACTAGCAACTCCAATGGGGAGGACAGAACATTTTACCTGATTTATAGGCATCAACCAAAAGGTTGACCAATCCCAGAGCCTATCCAAGGCACTCTGAATTGCCTCAAAGCGCCCAGGGATATCCACAATATTCCAGAGCTTGAAATCATCAGCAAACAATAGCGACGATACTTCAAGCTTCCGGGGTAGGTCATTGACATATATGGCGAAAAGCAACGGCCCTAAAACCGAGCCCTGTGGAACACCACTAAGGACAGCTTGTCTAAGCGAAAGGCTACGTCCCACGAATACGAACTGTTCTCACCCCTCTATGGCGCCTCCAGATATCCCATACGATCTCAACTTAATGAGTCGTTAATGTGGAACAGTATCAAAGGCTTTCGAGAAGTCGAGAAAAAGCACATCGATAGCGTGACCGTTTTCTACTGCCTCGGCTCAGCTTTCGCGAGCTAAAAGTAAATTTGTCAGACACGAAAATCCCTTACGGAATCTGTGCTGTGCAGCACTGAGGTTAAACGTATTCAGATGAATCTCCACCGAATCCCTGACCAGTTTTCAAACAACTTAATTACTATGCTTATCAAGCTGACAGACCGGTAGTTCCGAGCAGAGCTCTGCCATCACCCTTAAAAATCGGACAGATGATTGCCTCCTTCCATTCTGAAGGTAAGGCACAGCTGTCGAGCGATATTGTAAACAGGCATGTGAGAGAGCCACTTAGCTCAGCGGTCAATTCATGCATCAGCTTCGGATGAATTGAATCAGAGCCAGAAGCTTTGGGAGGATTTAGCCCTTGCAATAGTCCGAAGACTTGTGTCTCCGTTATGGTGATTTCAGTTAGGCAAGAATCCTCCGGGACTTTTGTGACCAGCTCAACCTGATGTAGGGAGGTCACACGAGAAAAGACACCAGTACATTGTTCGCTAAGTATAGAATCCTTATCATAATCGGTATGCACACGGGTCCCGTCCGCTCGTAGTAAAGCTGGTATAGAGGAGTTTGTACCGCTGCGCCTCTTTACGTAAGCAAAGAACTTTGGATTTGGTACGGCTGCGTCAGAGAAATCCTTCTCGAACTGAAGACGAGCAGTCCTAAGATGTTGCTTACATTTATTTCCAACCGCTCGATAGCTTTCGTAGGTGCTGATTGAGGTAGCCGCTTGGTAAGTCCGTCAGCACTTAGAGCGCTTCCTGTGCAGATATTTACCTGTATGATCTAACCAAGAAGGCTGCACCCGTATCACCTTTTTCTTAATGAGTGGGATGTGGGGAGCAGAGATCTCGATGAGGTATGCCTTAAATTTCTTCCAGCCTGTCTCAACGGTGTCAGCCACGGTGATCGCGCAACGCAGAACTGACGCTTTGTCTCGCATTGTGTTAAAGTTTTCCTGCCAAATATCTGAACATGCTTCAGCGGTAGTCTGATGACAATTAGAGCACATCGAAAGGATATGCAGACATGGTTACTGGCTCCATGAGGAGAGCCGTATGTAGTATCACTTACGAAATCGTGTGACTTCACAAGAATGAGATCCAAGGTGGACGGAAGCTGGTTGCACACATATCTAGTCGGGAGGTCTATGAACTGATGCAAAGTTGCAACGTTAGCTCGAGGAGATCCGAACTGAAAGTGCCTACCGCCGAACTGCAAGATAGATGAGCCCATCAGACTTCAGGGAGGTTAAAGTCACCCAGTATTTGACACCTATTGGCAGTCTGAGTACGAATAAACTCAATAACCCTAGAGATAGTTCCAGGAGTTTGATATACCACTACAAGTGTAAACTGAGTAGAAGAAGTGCACACGATAGTCGAGAGGACTTTAACAGTTCAATCCAGGAACTGGAAAACACAGATCCTCAACACATGAAGTGTGCAGCTCACATAAAGAGCGACGCCCCCACATTGACGGCCAACGGAGCGGTCACATTTAAGTAGTGCGTAGCCAGGTAAACACTGACGAGACCCAGAAGGTCGAAACGCCGGCGTCTGGTGCTTCCCAGACTAGCCTAAGCCTGCTGATTGGGAGTGACGGTGATGAATTAACTGAATTAAACATATTTCACCCTCTGATATCCGGGGGCAACCAGGTTTCAGTGAAAGCAAGTGTCGGGACGGGATTAGTCCACAAGTAGACCCACCTCGTGTACCTTGTTCCATCGGCTACGGACATTGCTATGAAGTACTCGAAGGAACTCGGCACGATCAGCCCTGGGTCGTATGCTACCAGAAAGGGTTCTGGTAGGGGAGAATTGGACTTCCGGCTGAACACCAGAAAACCCACAAAACGGTCATGCACACCAGCTGCCCGCCTGCTCTTGAGGCTCTTGATGGTCTCCTTTAACTTCAGTCGATCTGCCAGTAGGAGGTCCGGCAGAACGCTGTTATTACTACCATTGAGTTTGAATGCAAAGCGCATTAACGCTTAGCGTTGGCGGCATCCGGTTTCGGATTTGCTTGTCACTGTGGCCTCCACAGGGACAGCCACAGGACGCCTGAGCCTAGAGGGACCATGGGTGGCTTGCGCTGCACCACCCACAGCTCCAATCACACACCCCATATCTAGTGTAAACTCGAAGGAATAAGACCGGGAGGCATGTGGATGGGAGCCACGTTTCATCAACGGAGTCGGTCCACACTCCTTCACAGGTAAACATAAGCACGCTGTAGTTGGGGAATCAAGCGCACACAAGGCGGTGGTTGGACCGTGGTCCGCTCCACACGGAGTGCGTGGAACCACTCTTCGAGCCTATCACGGCCACAAAGACCGTGCATCCCGTCCGCTGCAGCAAGGAGGTAGTGGGTAATAGACAGGTAGACACCTTGTCAACAGCCAATCACTTGAAATAACATTATCAAAAAAGTATAATGTTAAAGTATAAGGCTATGCAGACATAATTCTTCCCTAAATTAGTATATGAAGTAAGTGGATTATCAACGAATAAGCGACAAGTACAAAATGTCCACAAGTTACTGGAAAAGTGCTACAAACGCAATAAAGTTAACGAAGATAACCACAAATAACGTAAGCAAGGTGTGCAGGTTAAGAGAAGATTATTCAGGTAAGCAGAACAAACCAATTAAAGTGGAGTAAAATTTATCCAGCTTAAAAGGACCTAGTT